CAACAAGACTAGCTTTTGGTTCGGGAAAATATCTGATGCACAGTACCTTGCTGTAATCAATCCTGTTGGCTCGTCCGCTGTAATGTCAGCCGGTGCTTCCGAAGACATAATTCGAGGGCTCGAGCGAGTGTTGGCGACCCGTATTACGTCGGATGCAGTGCTAGACAAATTGTATGGGGATAATCGCATTCCAAGATCCTTCAGGGACAAATCACAAACCATCATGGACCAACAGCAGAATGTTCTCGAAGCGAAATGTCCATTTGCGTCGAGGGTTCGGAAAACGGGCGACGGTGACGGTAACGGGTGACGGTAACGGAAAGCAGATTCTGCCTGGACAGTATCGAACTCGCAACGTGCCCAATTTGGGGACGTACTTGCTATCGTTTTGGTCCTCAATCTGCGGATGTCTATGCGGTTCAGGATGCGGTTAAACGTTATTCGCCTGAAGCTTCGGACTGCAAGATAGTCTGCGGCTCGGCAGAGAGCACCTCTAATCGTTTGTGGGAGGAAGCCCGTACCTATTTGCGCCACGTAATCCTAGCAGCAGGAAAGGGCAGGGAGAGTTCCTTGACTTGTGAAGTAGTGTTGGAAACGTCGGTTATACCACGCAAGGACAGCGACGTCCACCGAACAACGTTCCAAACAGACTGGATTTCGAACAATCCTCGGAGGGGCTGTGCGTGTTGTAAAGCAACCGGGTATAGTCGGTTCTCGACCTGTTACGGCGGTCATCGGCGCTAAGCCTGTAGCGGCGTGCGGGGTCGCGTTGTGCGTGTACGTTGCTAGGGCAACTAGCAGTTCGTAGCTGTCATTTGGGGAGTCCGCATTGATTTTCGCAATTCGGCTCTCGAGGGCTTTGTGACTGCTTTTGTTTATGCCGTTGCCAAGGAGCAACGGCATAAACGGACGGTGGTGACTTTACGATATCCACCCGTAATACTTTTGTTACGAACGCTGCAAACGCGCCTTCGAACTCACTGCCGTTCTCTACGTAGACCTGCCGCGGCACACCGAACGAAGTACGCAACGAACCCTTGTGCAAAGGCGTCAGTTATCACCTGCGTATCTTCGCTTTGGACCACTCGTGTTACTAGGAACCGTGCTGCTCTATAATCACAAGTATGTAGTGGGTGCTGCGAACATGCGTAGTCCGATCAGGTCTAGGCTGACTCTGTCGAGAAATGACGCCATTGCTGACGTCCCCACCGTCTTTCTGTTGAGTGTTGGCAGGTATCGTGTGCACACGAAGCAACCCTTGACTAAGTCTCTGACGTCTTTGGCTAGGCCTGGCCACCAGAATAGAGCAGTGATCCTGCGACCTTGTAGTAGTCACCTCCACGGCGACGTTGCTAGTATCAATGTATAGTCTAAGTGGTTTATTCGGTTGTGGTTGGTATCTTAGTATCGGTTGATTCTTAAACCAGTTACAGTAGATAGATAAAACAGTTACAGTAGATAATATCTTATTGTCTTTCACCTTCTACTGTAGTAGCTTGAGTTCATAGCCCTGTATGCTGTTGCATTTGAGTTGTGACTTCTCGGTATTAACTTTGAAGCCGTAGGTGGTAAGGAATCGTTTGGTCTGGTCATATCGGTTGGTTAGTTGTCGGTGGTTGTCGGCAGCGATGAAGATATCATCTTGGTAGAATCTTATGTGTTCGGCAAATGCTAGTTGTTTGAGAATGGTACCCATTGTGTGGTGGAAGTGTTTCGACGCGTTAGTGGCGCCCATCGGCATGCAGTTGTAAGCGTAGTATTTGCCTCCGTGTTGGAATGCCTCCGGGTCAGTAACGGGATAGCGTGGAACGCTTTGCTGAGGTCAATCTTCGCGAGCAGAGGTTGCTGCACGCCCCATGTTACTATCGGCCAACAGCTCTGAATGTTGGGAAAACGGCCTGCATCGTCGATGTAGGGCAGTAGTGGGCGGCAGTCGTGTGCAACGCGTTCCTTCACGACCCTCATGGGTAGTGTAAAGTTCGGTGCCGATGGTAGCTCAGATAGTTTGCGTTGTTGTAGTAATGGTCGTAGCCAGTGGTCTATGGTCTGTAGTTCGCTTAGCCTATTGGGCGTTCGCCCATGATATGTTGGAAGAAGTTCACGCTTCACTCTCTCAGTGAACGCGGGTAGAGTACGGTCAGTCTTAGTTCTTCTTACAAGAAGATCTTGTGTTGGTTTTGGTGACGCCCATGTGTCCGCCTATTGCGCCCACGTGATACCATGCGAGGACTTTAGACCTCAGTGTAGTGGGGACGTAGGTCCTACCCGTGCGCGCGTGTAGTTTAAGACCATCGTCTCGTGTGATTAGCTGGTGCTCGCTGTCGAGGGACGGGTAACTCTCGCATGAAGTCCTTGGGACCTGGACAATCCAATGCGGTATGGTCAAGCTTTTGGACGCAGAAACACCTGAGGCCCATCTTGTCGAGGTCGGAGTCTCCGTCCGGGTCACCGTCGATCAGTCGACTGAGCGCGTCATGCTGGACTCTCCTGGGATGTAAGAGAACATCAGGTCGTACTGCTGAAGGGTTAGCGCCCATCTGCCTACCTTACGGTTATCGGCTTTCGCCAAGAAGGATAGGTTGCGATGATCCGTAAGGACTAACGTCCACCTGAGTCTGATGTAACCATCCCACTTCTGGACAAAGTATTTTTGCTGCCCACAGCTCTCGTTCGCGCGTGTCCCAGCTGACTTGGTCGTTGGTGAGCTTCGTGCTCCCGTATTCTATGACGCTTACTTCACCATCCACGACCTGGCACAACACGCCGCCGATAGCGTATCCGCTAGCGTCGGTGTTGAGAACCAACTGGCCTTCCGTTCTTAGTGATTGCAGGGGTTCAGCGCCTACTACGAGGTTCTTTAGTTCCTGGAAGGCCGCCTCATGGTGGTCCTCCCATATGAAAGGTAGGGTCTTGTGTGCATTCATCAGTTCTTGTAGGGGTTGTACCTCGTCGGAGAACGCGGGTACGAACCGTCTGTGGAACGAAAGTAAGCCAAGTAGTGATCTTAACTCTTTGAAGTCTTGCGGAGCGCGCATTCTCTGGAGAGCGTGGAGCTTCCCCCTCTGCGGTAAAATACCGGTCGTCCCTACAGAGCATACGTGTTCGGCACGCAGTTGACGATTGTCCCTTGAGACTACACCGTGACCTCACATACTTGCAGTAGTGACTTATTTGGTCACACCGAGCGCATGGACAGTCTCTCCGATAAGTGGTCACCATGGCCTGCTCGCTCTAGTGATGGACAAACTCAGTAACGACAAATACGCCACCCCGGAGTTGGCGTACTTCGACAGCCTATTCCCGGCTCCGTGGAACATCAAAGACGTAATGAGGCGGAGGGAAAGTACCAATGACCACCCAGATGCACGAGTGAGCAGACGGTGGATGCCTGGCTGATGAAGGCCAACGAGATGTTTGGCAACCTCGGCCCTTCAACTCGCCAAGCCTTGCGGTATATCTCTGCGCACTGCCCTAAGGCCGACCCGGAGACATGTTCCGACCTGCCCCAAGGTGACACGACTCCAACTGAAGAGGTCGTCGACTGGGCCATTAGGAAGAGATACGCACGTGGCGCAGTGGGCTACGACGTTCTCTCCGAGCGCATACGACGGATGGTGCGGCTCAGCAGGCGCTGGAAGAAGTATTTCCCCTAGCTCCGGTGCCAGCTCATCGATGCCGCGCTTGCGGCGTATCCCCCGTCGACTGCATCGAATCTGCGAGCCGAAAGGAAATTTTCCTGGCCGTCCTGAGAATCAAGGCCGAGCGACTTGAGAGGAACGAGGCCGAGAAGCTGAAGGATGAAAAACCACTACCAGGAGTCCGACTCCGGCCGTTCGAGACGGGAAAGCAGGAGCGAGAGGAAGCGAAGATAGTGGGCCAAGAGACGATGCGGCAGAGTAAGTCGGTAGCTGGTCGTGCGCCTCGCAATGACTGGGCGTAGAAGCGGAAGAGACAGGGCGGTAGTCGTTGGCGGGATGCCATGCGAGCTTTGAGTACGTGAAGGAAATAAGCCCGAGCCCGTGCAGTAGAAGCACCCTGGGCACTCGCGGCCACTGGGGCGGGGGACGGCAGGAGGCCGTAATGCAGATAGCCTTGGTAGGAATGCTTAGAACTGCCGCCGAGTATTTGGAGAGGTTTTTTCAAGTTGGCGACCTTGATTTTATGAGGTTCGAAGTAGCAAGTGAAGACGGTCGGAGAGGTTGGGGTCGTGTTGATTTGAGTGTGACAGCTGAATTCGAAGACCCAAATGGTGAGAAGGAAGGAGGAGCTGTTGTTACTGATCTGGAAGTGCAAGTGTCTGACATTTGGAGAGACTTCGTGTACGAGACCAAGTTGGCCCACTTTCAGAGAGCGAGTGGTCTCAACAGCGAGAGGTATCTTAAGTTGGACAGCCTCGCCGTGCTTCGTAACGAAGAAAATGGCGGCAAGAAGATTATTCCGAACCTGATTTACCTGTTAACGAACGAATTCGGGAGGCATTGCGCGCTAAAGAATTACGACCATCTGATCCCCGTGGAAGCTCGGCAAGTTCTCAGGGAGAAAACGATAAAGAGGACATCGACCAGCGGTTTGCATCCCGCAGCCAGTCAAGAGGACCAATACTTTTTTGAGTACTTTCCGGCTATCGATTGTTTGTTGGTCCAACCACTCTCAGCCCGCTAGATATGTGTCCGTAAAATGGATACCCTGCCCTCGTGAGTATATACTCATCGTCATTATGGTCTCCTCGGTACGGGTTTGCTTGCAGTATATCATTCCTGAAACCGAGTAGTGACTCCAGGCCTGGTCCTGATTCCAGGCCTGGCTATGATTCCAGGCCTGGCTATGATTCCAGGCCTGGCCCCGATTCCAGGCCTGGTCCTGATTCCAGGCCTGGTCCTGATTCCAGGCCTGGTCCTGATTCCAGGGCTCACTTTTTCTCCGGTGAATAAAAATTAGGTTGTCTGTGAATGTTAAGTGGCAGAAGAACCTTGAAATTAGTTGGCGGTCATGCTACCAACAGACTTAGTAATGCAGTGAAGGCAAACCCAGCGCTGGGAGGTAATCAAACGGTTGCATTCGGTGCGACTCGACGGACCTATTCTGACATGGTGCATGAGCATTTCACCAAACCTCGAAATGTGGGTGCGTTTGCGAAAACGGAATCTCAAGTAGGAACCGCGGTAGTCGGAAAGGCTGCATGTGGCGACGTTATCCGACTACAAATCAAAGTCAAGGACGACACTATTGAAGACGTGAAGTTCAAGGCTTTCGGATGCGGCTCCGCTATCGCCTCTACTTCTTTCGCCTCCGAATTAATCAAGGGCATGAAGGTCAAAGATGCTCTGAATATCAAGAACACTGACATCGCTGAGTCCCTCTCGTTACCACCCGTTAAGGTACACTGCTCCCTACTTGCCGAAGATGCTATAAAGCTCGCCATCAAAAACTACCAACAAAAGCAAGGTGCCTCTGCTAATTAAAAAAGGCAGATTTAACAGTACTTTTTCTGGAGTACAACATATGGAGAGGTTGTGACACCGACTACAAATGGATATCGGTTACAGGCCAAGAATCGGTTCTCCGTTTCGATTTTGCAAGCCCTGCTCGATTATGAAGACCTGCTCGATTATGAAGACCTGCTCGATTATGAAGACCTGAGCTGCTATTGAGCAGCGGCCAATTTGGGCCCTGGGCTCATCTCCACAGGTATCCACACTGCCAAAGGTCGACCCGAAAAGGACTCGTGACCGAAAAAGTTTCTTGAAGAGTTTCCCAAGGAGTGGTCTTCTTTGCTGGATAGATTTTTGCTGGATAGATTTTTGCTAGATTTTTGCATGCAACTTTTTGGCTGTACCATATGCTCAGGAATCGGAGCTAGATGGTGTCTGGGACCAAGACCATCTTACTTCATTATTTTAAAGACACCAACTCTCTACAGGTGCCACTGGTAGCCGAATGGTTGCAGACGCCGGAGTGGAAATACGTCCATTCGTGGTGGCCTGGTCCGAAGCCTAGCTTTCGTGTTGACGGAGATTATGAAAGCTCCTTTTCATCAGTAATAAAGGACTGGCTGTTATGCAAAGATGACAAGAGCTGGTGCTTGCCGTTATACGAGGCTGCGGCTTCCGCTAACTTAGATTGGTTCCAATCAACTTCATTCACAACTTCATCCACGACTTCATTTACAACTTCATCCACGACTTCATTAAGTAGCCCACTGCCCGAAGGTTCGTCGTGTCTACTTGACGTTGGGCGTGTGTCATTTAGAAATCCAGAAGAAGAAGTCTATGAGGATTGGGCTAAGTTGGTTGATTTTGCTTGGTCTATGAAACAGAGTATTCCGGGAGGTCGAAGCAACTATCTAGATTTCCCGGATCTAAAAATAGGACGCATGTTTTGGCCAGCACCACTTCATGTGCAAGATGGGTCTCGAACATTAGTTAAATTGGTTCCCAGCTTTCGTAAGCTAAACGGGATGCCTCTCTCGTTACGGGAGATGATAGCCTAAGTCCCCCCCCCCCCCCCCCCCCCCC